GGGCTCGATCCCAGGACCCTGGGATCATGACCTGAGCTGAAGGCAGACGCTTAACGACTGAGCCACCCAGGCGCCCCGAACTTAACTTTTTTTATTGCTTAAAGAGTATGCAGTTTTCTTCCCCTCCCCCGCCCCCAAGTCAGGCATTCATTCCTAGAAGTAGAGTTAGGAACAGCTTTTGGGAGTTGGATTTGGGGCAGCACTTGGCTTGGAATAATGGCAGTTTGATCTCAGAATGTGAGGTCCTTGCATATAAGGAAAGCATGGAGAGTCCTGTTACTTTCTCCAAAACAAAGTTCTGTCAATTGTCAGTTTCTTCCCAACCATAAATATTTAGAAATATGAACAGCCTTTAATCAAAATAATTTATATGTTGACAAGGGCCATTATAAGAGTTATCACAGTAACAGAATGTGATACAGAAAGAATTACATGTTTTAAATATAGTGTAATAGATTTATATTTTCTAAATCTTCTAAGAGAGTCTCCCTCATTTTTTTTCTTCCTCTATCTCCATTTTACTTTAGCCAGAAATTTCTTTGATTTGTGGGGCACCTGGGTGGCTCAGTCGGTTAAGTGACCAAGCCTTGGTTTCAGCTCAGGTCACGAGCTCAGGGTCATGAGATGGAGACCCCGTGGGGCGCTGCCCTCAGCAGGGAGTCTGCTTGAGATTCTCTCTCCCTCCTTCTCTATCCCTCTCCCTCTGCTCCCCCCTCCATTCGCGTTCTCTCTAAAAAAAAAAAAAAAAAAAGAAAGCCTCTGAGTTCCATCTGAAGGAGAGTTAACACATCTCAGAAAATTTTTATTCAAAAGGCAGTAATCACGCTTCCCTATCTTCTATATAGGAGGCAGATTATAGCTACTGAAGTTTTTGATGCCAAAGGTTATCATGTAAAGCAATATTTAGGACTTCTTTTTAGGTCTCAAGATATGAATCACAAACTCTGTGTCCTATCTATTTATAACTTGTTTTTTTTTTTAATCTGTTTTTAATTTTCATTTGGGCTTATTTATTCCCTGTGTAATTCGGGCCCTATTGGAGAGGACAATAGATGTAACATAACAATAAAAATCTTACCTAACAGTAGGTAGTGTAGTTATCTTACTTGACATTCAAAATTTTACACTTGAGATTTTGTTATGTATTCTTTCCTTCTCTTCTTCTCACACTATGCATATTAAAATTTCTCATTTTTATACTTGTCTATAATTTATGATACAAAAAAAGTGTAATTTTAAAAATTAAAATATCAGGAGCACCTGGGTGGCTCAGTCAGTTGAGTGTCTGCCTTCAGCTCGGGTCATGATCTCAGGGTCCTGGGATCAAGCCCCACATTGGCCTCCCTGCTCAGTGGGGAGCCTGCTTCCCCCTCTCTCTCTGCCTGCCCCTTTGCCTGCTTGTGATCTCTCTGTCAAATAAATAAATTAAGTCTTAAAAAAATTAAAATATCAGTAATCAGTCATTTTTAATTCCTATTAATGTGTTTCCTCTGGAGGATTTTGTAATGGTTCCCATTTATTCCCTATATTTATTCCACGCTTCCCACCAAACGCAAATGGGTAAGACTTATGAAGAGAGACTTATAACAAGTTGCCATATGTGGTAGATTTCCCTTCTAAAATTATTCAAATCATTCCTCTGCACTTACCAAGTGCACGTTTGCCATAGAGAGTTGGTATTGTGCTCAAGTTTTGCCAGGTGTTTCATTGTTTAGTCTTATGATGTTACCTGGTGTTGAATTTATGCAGGGGGCCCAAGGACCTCACGGACCAGTGGGTGCTCCAGGACTCAAAGGGGATGGCTATCCTGGTGTGGCTGTAAGTGTGGACATTGCTGTGATTTCCTTCATTCCCTCCCTCCTTCTCTTTCTTTCTTTCTTTCTTGATAAACACTGCACATGACAAGGACACTCACTCTCTTCCTTATTATGTCATCTCAGGGACCTCGGGGACTACCAGGACCCCCTGGGCCAATGGGCTTACGTGGAGTGGGGGACACTGGCGCAAAGGTAAGATTTTAAAGTAGGTAACATAGTAGATTCTAAGAAGATGTCTGATAGGTAAGTGACTTTGGTAAAGGTGAATTTTTTTTTATCAGACATAATAGAGGAGTGGTAGTCTAAAGAATTGATAGTTATTTATCTTCACCTATGGACCTCCTGGGGGAACTTGCACTAGTTTGAGCATGTGGATTAATTTTGTGGATTTTCTCCTGCTTCTCTGGTCGCAACTCTCACGTTCCTTTGTTGCTTTGTTTTCTGTATCAAAGTCAGAGTGTGGTCCAGAGCCCTCCTCCCTCCTCTAGATCTCTCTTCTCCTAGGTGATCTCATCCAGCCCCATGGCTTTAACTACTACTCACGTGCTGATGCCTTTCAAATTTCTCTTTCCCCCTAAGCTCTGACTGCACACATCTAGTTTCTTACCATATAACTTCTCTTGGCTTTCTTACAGACATCTCTAACCTAAGGCCCAAAATATAATTTAATTTTAATTTTCACCTCATAAGCCTATAAATGGCACCACCCAACTCATGCTCAAGCTAGGAGATGTGAGTCATTCTTGCCCCTTCCTTTCCCTCTCCCTCCATGTCTAGTCTTTTGGTAAATGCTGTCAGTTCTCTCTTCAAAATATATTTTGATTCTAGCTGCTTTTCTCCTTCTGCTTCACCAGGGCAGACCACGATCATCACTTGTCTGGGCTATTAAAATAACCCCTTCAGGGGCCTTCCCTCTTCTACCTCAGCCCTTCTGTCACCTGCTAGGCAGAGCTGTCTTTTAAAACCAGGAATCAGATCATATCCCTTTCCTTCTCAATAAACACTCTGATGGCTTCTCTCTGCACTTAGAACAAGATCCTACCACTTCCTATGGCCTATGAGACCCTTCACGACCTGATTGCCGCTCTTGCCCCTTCTCCTTACTGACCTTCTGCCGGCGACACTGGCCTGCCCTGTTTCAGCTCATTCCTGCTTCTGGGTCTTGGCTCTGTCAAGATGGCTTATTCTTAAGGCTGTGGCTCACATCTTGCCTAACCTGTGCCTGACTGCCTAAACAAAGAACAATTGTCTCTCCCCTCACTTATCACTCTCACATCCCCCTGTGTATGTCCTCCAGAGCATGTATCACTGTTTCAAGCCATCTTGCTCATTTACTGTTCTGTGTATTCCATGAGACTGTACATTTTCCTGAAGGCAGGCTCTTTGTCTTGATCCCTGCTAAATTCCTGGCACCAGAAGTAAGCATGCCGCCCAATAGGAGCTGTATAACATGTTGAATGAATGGGAAGTGAATGAATGATCAATATTACCCTAAAGAGAAAATATGTCCTTAGAAACATATCTACTTAGTTTTTCAAGTGCTTCCGGGTCATTAGAGGGAGACGTTCTAATTGTTCAATGTCAACTTCTTGTTTTGATTTTTTGGTCTCTGCCCCAGCACGTGGGAGAGACAACACCTTGCTGATGCTTCTGTACAATGGGGCAGGGACCCTTTTGCCTTCTCCTCAGGACAATAAAAGATGGGAGGCCCATGGCACTAAATATTGTCTGTAAAGGACAGCTTGACTCCTCCCTGTCTCTGTTAGCGTAATCATGAGAGACCAGGGAGAGGCTGTGTCTGAAAGTACTGTGTAAACTCTACAGAGGACCACACCTGAGATACTTTTATCAAGGTTCTGGCTTGGTCTGACTCAGAACGGAATCCAATCCTCTAACACACCTTGACGGTGTCAATAAACCATACTGAACTTGGGTATGGAAGTATTCTTTTTTTTCTTTAAAGCATAGTCATTTGTCAAATGTTAAAATTAAAAAAGTAGGAGGACATTTCACTATGTAAACCTTGTTGTTTGCTGCTCTGAGTGGAGCACGGGTAAAATCTTTTGTTATTATGTAAATATTCCTTCAGGTAGGAAAGTAGAAACTTATTTAATATATGGCATGAGATAAAACCTATTAAATGTATATTGGAATGTATCTGTATTCTAATGGAAACATCATCATTTACATTTCCACTGAGTAGGTTATTATATTTTAGATAAGTATATATTGCATTATATTAAATTATACTATTTTGCTATTGCTCTACATTTAGCAATGATAATAAAGGCAGGCACTTACACACAGATAGAGAACATTTTAAAATCTGTTTCTTGTGAATATTCCACTATGTCAGGTTATTTAACATACAAGCTAAAACATTTACTAAATAATTCCATATACTGGTTTTCCCGGAAAGTTCCCTGTATTTGCTATCATATACATTTTAGGGGGAAAAATCAAGAAAAAACGTGTTCCTTCAAAATTTTATGCTGCCTATCTTACTTTTTGAAACAACCAACATGTTGCCAGAGATGTGTCTTAAGGGAGACTCATTATCTCTGTTAGCCCACACGGGAGGCTGAGTGGAGGAGGCAGCTGACAGCTCATTCCTGGCTGAGGGAGGAGAGAATATTGGCCAGGATCTGCCTCTGTCTCCCTGTCCCCCCCCCCGGCCCCCCCACTCTCAGCTGCCTTTTCTTTTTCTCTTTGACCTCTTCCTGTGGATGCTGGGAAAATGTGTTATCCTGGAAATCGTGTGAGCTGGTCTTAGAATTAAAGAACTTGGATCATAAACTTGAAAATAAAGGAAATTCTAAAAGCAAACACCAGCTTTTAAATAACTTTCAATGTCATCTCTCGTCTTTGATAGAGGTCTTAAAGTCTCTATGTGGCCTTTTTCTCTGAAGAAAACTTTTGGAAACACACACACGCACACAAGTAAAGAGAGATATTTGGAAAAGTTTAATTCCACCTAACTTCGTCCTTGTGGTTTGGTAAAGTGGAGGTGAGACCCTCAAAATACCTAAAGGTGTCAATGGTAGCAAAAACACTGGTCTCAAATGCGAACAAAATTCATCTCCTTTCATTCTGACTTAAAAGAACAGAGGAATTGTAAGTATGTGGGAGTGCATCTCTGTGTGTGTGTATAATTGTATAGACATATATATCTGATATGTTTTTCATTTAAACTCTGTGTAGTCACCTTAAAATATTGGCCTTAGCGCATTAACTTACAAAACAAATGTGTTTTGAAATGAGGAAACCATTAAGGTTGACAATTTATGGTCCGTTTTTGTGCTATTTAGTTAAGGGCACATGTGTTTAACATATGACACAGACATTAGAATCAAAGCTTCTATGTTTCAAAACCTATCAGAAGCAGTCCCTGACATCTTGCACCCTTGTGGTGCTCTCTGGCTTTTTTCCAAGTGAAAGAATTCCATATGACATCAGTGGTTATAGTACTTCTATGTACAATTACCTTGAATTGCATCCAAATTTTGACAAGGGCATCTGAAAGATTTCTAAAATTCTTATAAAAGTTATACTTCCAAGTAGATAGGAGATATAGTTTTAAAATCTGCTTTTGAAACATGCCTGGAAGAGAAACTAACGATTTGGTTTCTTGCTGAGTTGGAAGCACTCATCTAGCACCCTGTTCCCCGGACCCAGACTTGTTTGTTGATGGGGAAGGCAAGCTCGAGGATCTTATTTAGTGCTGCCTGCACTTTTTCACTGAACCCCTACAGACAAAAAGGACCCTTTGTGATTTGGGGACAATCATTATGTGACCCTCATCTGCCTTCGAGAAGCCCACTTGACTCTTTTCTCCAGTATTTTCACCTGCAAAGGCTCATGAGGTGCATGTGACCTAGAGGCTGATCCACTGACATCTCTGAGAGTAAGAGTTTATCCTTGGCCTCCTGAGCTCCATAAGGACAAGTGCATCCTGTCATGTACCTCTCTCAGCTCTATTCCTTCCCTAAAGCTTTGGAGCCGGTGAGCTGGGGCCAGTCCTTGCACAGAGGGGCTCTAACCTGCCTGTTAGAGCCCTCAAGGGGCCTCTTCACCATCAAGTGGTTGGAATAAAATCTGTGGGCAGAAAGCATATGTTGGGTTGTTGCTATTATTATTGTATACTATGTCAATAGACATTATATACTACCTAAATATTTCCAGAATATCATCGCATTTTAAACTACTCCCTTATTTTATAGGTAAGGAGATCAGGAAGCAGAAAGGCTGAACACATTGTCCCTTTACAATAGAAATGGTGTTGATACTATATTATGTTCATGTGTAAGAGAGAGACTATGAATATGGATGAATGAATGCAAATGAAATGAATGAATAAATTAGAGCAGAGAGACTGACTCGCCCTGATCTGCAGATGTTCATCTTCAAAGCTGTCGAGCTTCCAGATATCTCGGCATCACTTAGCGTACAGTGGGATTGTTTCTCTTTCCAGCCTCGCTTTCCCATCATCCAAACTTAAATTATGTAAACATTAACGAGAAGCACAAACCCAAACCCAAAAGAGTTAAACATTTTTCAAAAGCTTTAAATGTTTGAATATTGTAAATACATGCTTTATTTGACAAAAGTGGCCCATAGTCATAAATTAAAATGCAAGGCTCTGTGAAATTCCACCAAGTGTCATTATTCTAACAATGTTCCTGGCATTTGAATTGCCCCTCTGTTCTCTGCAATGGCTCACATATGTGCACACCACCAACAGGCCGTGGCAGAACAGAGGAGCAATTCACACAGAACTGCGTTAGGAATTTGTGGATTCCATTGGTGGACATGGACTGGACAAGAAACTCTGTTTTGAACAGTCTCTGACAAGGAGGCTGGCCTCGGATACAGACTTCATGACAGTGATGTTAAGGGTCTGTGACTCCAAGTTGGAGTGGAAGAAACCCACCTCCCATAATAGGACTGCAAAATTGTGACAGGCAGGACAATCAGCTCAAAACCAGGACTAATTAGAGCCAGAGCCATATCAAGTTGAAATGCTAGGCAACTTGACCTTTAGATTTCAGAAAAGGTCACATTCAAGACCAGGAAAACTGGATTGGGTGACTTTTCAAGGTTTTTCCCCAATTCAGTTCCATGCATGTTCTTTAAAATCACAGCTGTATTCTGGTCTGTCTTGTGACCTTCAAGGCTGCTTTCATCGCTGCTTT